AAGCAGTGTGTGCTTATCAGTGTGTCTGCACACAGCTGCATACCTATAGGAATGTTCCCTGATTATTGATATTTTCCTTGTGCCCTGTCAGCCCTGTAGAGAGAGTAAACTGCATGTTTGACTTCCCTTTTCTCGGCCCATGAATGAGCAGATGCTTTGGACAAGGGAACTGGAAGACTCTTGAGGGAGCAGCTGGCTGACTGTTGCAAGCTTGCTCTGCACCTGCACTGGATGTGGTCTTTATGCACATAAGGCTATGGAGACTCCCTTCAGTTCACATTGTCCTCATTACTGCGTAAAATAATGTACAGAAACTGAACATTTCTAGAGCAATGGACTGATGCATACATACCTCCATGGTCGCCTCTGAGATTCACAAATTAGTGGTAGTCATTTTCACTGCTTCCATAAAGTAATATCATTCTGTAACTCAGTGTGGTTGGGAAACCATCATTCTGCAATAATTGAAATCTGGTGAGTCACACTGGCCTCTGTTGTTCAGAGTTTGGTTGTCAACCCAAGAAAACAAGACTAAGGGGCAGAGAGATAAAATAATTAAACATGTACATGGAAGGATAGGCTCCAGTGTAATCTTATTTGCTAAATATTATGTCCTTCCGAGCTTACTGGGACAGCGAAATCACCTCCAAGGCTTCAGGCAGAGGCACCGCTCCTGAGGCACTGCTAGGCCAAGGTCACGTCTCAAAGCCTCATGCAGCCCTCACACAGGGCTTGCTGGGTGTTCCCGAAGCCCAAGCCTCTGTTGGGTGGTTCTATTCTCAAGGTTTTGGAAACAGGCTTTCTGGTCTTTTGAAATAAAGGCAGTGGTCCCAATGGTTTCAAGGTAAATTTAAAGTTTATTTTTCTCTCTTCTGGAAGAATGGTGCACATTCGCAGCCAGTCATTATTCTGGCATGTTAAATAAAAACATTCTGACAGTGTTGATCAAATTCATCTCGTATCAATCCTCATTCTTTAAAACCTGAAATATTTCTTTTCCTGTAATAACATAAGCTTCCTACTGGGTGACATTCCAGCCACACACTCAGTGTTCTCTTTAGAATATACTTTTTGATTTTTACAGTATGGATAGGTTGAGAATTTTCCAAGCCCTCAATTTTTGTATTTTTTTGGTCTATAATTTTTTTCCTGATATTAATTTTTCTTTCTGTTTTATTATAAGCACGAAGGAGGAACCAAGCAATGTCTTCAAACTTTACTTAGAATCATTCTCAGCTACTCCCAAGTTATCACTAATCGCACGTTCTCTTTCACTAAATATTATAACGCAGTTCAGCCAAGTCCTTTTTAACAACTTTATGATGACGATCACGATTCTTCCAATTTCCAAAACCACTAACTCTTCTCTGCATATCAGAATGGACTTCAATATACAAATGTCTTCATGTACATAAAAGGTATACATCTTTTTATACACATCCCAATTCCAAGTTACTTTTACAATGTTTAAACAGTTATAACATCAGAGTCCCGCTTCTTAATCACAGATTGTCTTTTGTCAATTTAAGTTGTCATTACAAACTATCATAATTGGTGACTCATGCAATATTAATTTTATCTAAATTCTCAGAGCTCCAAGATCAAGATGCTAATAAGATCGGTTTTATTTTGAGGCCCCTGCTTTTGGCTCATCGCAGTCACCATGTTGTTACTTGATCATATGACCTTTTCATTGTGGGGTGCGTGTGTGTTTGTGTGTGTGTGTGTGTGTGTGTGTGTGTGAGAGAGAGAGAGAGAGAGACAGGGAGAAATAGAGACTCTGGTGTCTCTACTTATGAGGTCACTAATTTCATTCTGATGGTTCCATCCTCATCGTCTTCTTTAAAATCAAGTACTTTCTTTGTTGGAGCAATTATTTAATTGATTTCAAAGAATACCTGGGGATGAGAGATTTTTATTAATTCTAAATACAAAGGGTCCCACTGCAGGAATGCAGCCTGTCCTCTCCCTTAAGGAAGGATATGAGTGTGCATTAATCACGGGGCTCCTTTTGCTTATTTCCTCTCTCTCAGTAATCACTGTCTTTGTTGCCCAATGTCAAGCATCTTAAAATTGTGTTTAAGAAATTTCACTGTGTTTTTCGGTAATTACTGGTAGAAAGATATATCTGGTTTCTGTTGTTAAACTGGGTTTGGAAGTGATCATCTTGCACATAAATATTAGAATCTATTTTATGATGTCCACTAATATTTACCCTGGAATATACATAGATATGCAACAGTTAACACTAAATCCCAGGAGACATTTTTATAGACATCGTAGAGTGTGTGTGTGTGTGTGTGTGTGTAGTATATATATAAATTATATCAAATACTTTATGTATATATATAACACTAGGTATATTAATTCTATGAAATGCTTTATTAAATACTATTTCTATACTACATATAATATGTGTGTATATATATATATAAAACACTTGGTAGAATTTATTATCTATCTCTCCATCTCCTACTTGTCTCAGACCTTTCATAAAATGAATATTGAGATAATTTACAGATTAACTGTGTAACAACACCACTAGTGTCATTTATTCTTCTGACACTTCATTAATAACTTATTAATTGACCAATTCTCACCTAGAAATCCTGATATGCTTTGGCTCTGTGTTTTCACCAAAAGCCCATCTTGAATTGTAAAAGCCCAAGTGTCTGGTGAGGGGTCAGGTGGGAGGTGATTAAATTGTGGCAGTGGTTTTCGCTATGCTTTTCTCCCAATAGAGTTCTCAGGAGATCTGGTTGTTTGATAAGTTTGTGCCTCCTCCTCCTCCTCTTCCTCCTCCTACTCCTCCTCTGTCATCATCTTCTCCTTCTCCTCCTCCTCCCCCTCTTCCTCTTCCTCCTTTTCATTCTCCTCCCCCTCCCCCTCCTCCTCCTTCTTCTCTTTCTCTCCTGCTGTGTTTGATAAGTTTGTGCCTCCTCCTCCTCCTCTTCCTCCTCCTTCTCCTCTGTCATCATCTTCTCCTTCTCCTCCTCCTCCCCCTGCTGTGTTGTGAAGAAGGTACTTGCTTTCCCTTCGCCTTCCACTGTAATTGTAAGTTTCCTGAGGCTCCCCAACCATTCAGAACTGTAAGTAAGTTAAACCTATTTTCTTTATAAGTTACCCAGTCTCAGGTGATATCTTTGTAGCAGTGTGACGACGAACTAATACAGGCTTTTTCCCAAGAAATGTAATTTTTAATCGAATACACATTTTTACTATGAGATAAAACAGTCTTCATGGTGACTACATATGCATGTTGATTTTGACATGATAACCATCATATTGAAGATGGTGACATTCTCAGAAAAATGATCCTGGTTCAAGTTAAATGCAGAGTAATATTTACTTCTGTTTTACTTTAGAACAGAAACTTACGAGTTACAGATGATATAGTGGGTGGTCTCCTTAGAATTGGGTTCTGTTAAGTAAAAGAAAATATCTCTGGATTGTGGTCATAGGTTCTCTGATTGGTTTCTCTCTGCATCTGCTGCTATTTGGGGCTCTGTTTGGGTGAGTTCTGAACATCTCCTGCTGGCCCTCTGCTGCCCATGCAGCCCAGATAAGAGGGCTGGGGGATCTGCTTCTGAGACACCCAGTCATATGTCTCGCTCCAGGCCAGGATTTCCAATAGGCCTTGGCGCTGCACCTCTGATCTCTCCTGTGAGACCTCACCTGTGCACTGAGCATCCTCACAGCAAGGTGACAGGATCAGCTTCACAGATATTACAGCAGGCAATTTTGAGCAATTTTAATTGTAGTTTGATGATATAATTCAGTAATCCTGTTATTGAGGCATGAGTGACTCACACGTACACATGCACACACATACACACACACACACAATGTATGAACATTCATTTACATTTCCAAAAATTAGACAAATTTTGTATTATTCCTGAGTCCATTAACTTCTGAGGTTTGAATCAGAAATGAAAAGATAACATTTTCTATATCCAAACTTACAAATGAATAAGATGAGAAAATAGGGTCAGAAAAATCAAGTTTGAGCTGTTCCTTGCAGTCCAATGGAGGTAAGTTACATAATGGAGCTGTGCTAAGATAGGCTTCTAGGTGCTTTAATTATGAATCCCTCAATTACAGCAGAGAAGCAATCTCTGACAGGGGGAAGCGAGGTTCCCTCATCTGGGATAGCTCTCTGTCTTCATCAAACTTATTTCAGCTGTGGAAGGTGCATCCTGCTGACATTTTTACATGGTGATTGTGTAGTGAAGGTTCCGGGACACGGGGGACATTCTCCAGCCTCCTGCCTGAGCCTCCTTGTTAGCTATGGTGGTGAGACTGGCTCTGAAGCACGGCCTTCCAAGCGTTCCTATTCCTTCCCTTCCCCAAGTGTCAGTGTCTCTTCCCAGCCACAGAGGTTTCTCATCAGTGTCCACAGCTTCTGACCCACTGTCCTTACCCCACAGATTCAAAATTCCATTCCTCAGGAAAGAGATGGCAGGTGTTTCCTGGTAGAGTTTCCTTGGTGTCCTCTGTTTCCTTGTGTTCTAGTTGATTCTACCAGTGCCCATAGGACACAAGATTTAATAAAAGTCTCCCATATATAGTGAAGAGGGATTCAGCATTGATCAGAGCTGCTGTTCTTCCTCCCCAGTCAACACCTCAGGACAGTAGGTGGGTGAATTGTCTGGGGATTTTCCCAATTCTGCAGGAAAAGCCTGCAAGTGCTGGGAACTTCACACTCTAACATCATTAGCACACACATCCTCAAGCAACTCATCAAACATTCCCAGGTTAGCTTTTTCCTATGTTAAACACCATGCTGTGAGTGGCACCTGCACCAGGTACTGTAATAAATCAGCCCTAATTTCCTCTGCAGGCCCCTATTTTCTCAATACTAATGGACTCGGGGCAGGCAGAGACCTCCATGGGAATCTCTGATTAGAACAGGCTTTGAGTTCTGATGGGAGCCAAGAGACAGCTCACCCAGGGTCAGAGTCCTTAAAACATGATGGAGTTAGAGCTGTCCCCCCTTGTCTTGTAAAAAGCTGCACATCTGACTCAGACTGATTCAGTTAACCCTGTTATACTATGTATTACTATGAATAATATTAATATGAATATTATTCCCTTCATCGCTAATGTCCAGTTCATTTCCCAAATACCTCCATGCACAGAAGACACCAGGAGCATCCAGGCAATGGGGAGTGAGAAAGTCCCTCAGCCTACCCCCGTCCTGCAGACCTGAGCCCTGGGATTTTGACTACAGAAAACACATCCTCCGTTTTCAGGGAAGAGAAGAAAGGGAACTGTGAGAATCAAGTCTACAGAGAAGGAAAACGGAATAGAAAGAGGGTTAACTGAATCAGTCTGAGTCAGATGTGCGCAGTTTTACAAGACGAGGGAGACAGCTGTGATACCATCAGGTTTTAAGGACCCTGACCCTGGGTGAGCCTGTCCCTTGGCTCCCATCGGAACTCAAAGCCTGTTCTAATCAAATGGAGGTCTCTGCCCTGAGTCCAGCTGGAGAACTCTCCCCAGGTTTCCCAGGGATTCTTCAGGACTCTCATTCTGTTGACCAGGAAAGGATTATATCTGCCCCCAAAGTGACACTGTGGAATTAAAACTGTGATGTGAGGATTTGCTGTTACAAAAAGAAACGAAAAGGAGAACAAAAAGTTTTGCATTTAGAGACATTAAAGGTTAGTACAGAATTGTAAATCCTGGAGGTTCCCTGGGGAAATGTGACAACGAGGCAGCCCCAGACCATGACAGGAAGCCAGCCCTCAGCAGCACCTGCACCTGCCCGAGACAGCCCCGTGCACAGCGCCCGGACGCCCCCTGGTGGTGGCGGGGACCCCTGCAGGAGGTTTGTGTCCGGGCTCACGCTGACTTCCCCTCATTGTGTAACCTGCACAGTAATACACGGCCGTGTCCTCGGCTCTCAGGCTGTTCATCTGCAGATACAGCGAGTTCTTGGCGTTGTCTCTGGAGATGGTGAATCGGCCCTTCACGGAGTCTGCGTAGTACGTGCTACCACCAGTACTGATAGCTGAGACCCACTCCAGCCCCTTCCCTGGAGCCTGGCGGATCCAATTCATGTCATAGCTACTGAAGGTGAATCCAGAGGCCGCACAGGAGAGTCTCAGGGACCCCCCGGGCTGAACCAAGCCTCCCCCAGACTCCACCAGCTGCACCTCACACTGGACACCTGCAAACACAGAGACACCCTGGTCAGAAACTGCCACCCACATCCACTGTTTCTCTCACTCATGTCCACACACACGCAGTCTCCCTAGTTTTCCATGAATCACCTTCTAAAATGGCAATAAGGAAAACCCAGCTCAGCCCTCACTCCATGCTGGGTCCTCTGTGTTCAGTGCTGAGCAGCAGGTGGAAATGCCTTGGAAACCCAGGGCTAAGGCTCCTCTCTCAGAGCTGCAGGGTCAGGGCTGGGCTGGTTTTCATCAGTACAGGGGGGGCCTATTTGCATGTCTCCTACTATATAGCAAGCTCTAGGGTGGGACGCTTGAGGGGGAGGCTGTGCCCAGCGAAGATGATGGTGCCCTGCAGGAGTTTGCTGACAATGATGGTTTTGGGAACATGTGCATTATTTAGGAAATGGCGCTGTGACAAACACTTTGCCCTGATCACCCTATTTCATGTTTAAATATTTGTGTAAATTGTGATATGTAGGAGTCAATATCTTCTCCATTACAGATGTGGAAGTGAACCCACACAGGGAGGGGCTCTGTATGCATCTAGGAGCTCATGTCTGGGATGAGTGGACCCTGGTGTCTGGCCCTGTGCTCCTGATCACTGGCTCTGCCTGCTCCCTAAACCAGCTCCAGGACAAAGCTGGACCTGCCTAGTGTGGTTTTCAGAACCCATTTTCTGTAAATATGGGGAGAACCCACTTGAAAATATGGAGAGAACTAGGGTCCAGGCACATTAATTTTTGAGTAGTTCTGACATTTAACATATTTCTTCCATCTTTCTATTACTCCTTCCATGTCTAAGTTTCCATTTGTTTGCTTGTGATACATTTTATGAGATTGTAATTGAAAGATTTAAAAGCTTCACATATTTTAAATGTACAATGAATAATCATGAGGTAACTGCCATCATTATCAAGAAAGTGGACAAGTGAGTTCTTCTCAACATTTCCTCTTGTTCTGTTACATTCCTCCTTCTCTCCCCTTCCTTTCTTCATCCATTTCCCCAAGTAACTACTGATCTTCATTATATTACTTTAGATGCAGTTTTACTTATTAGAATTCATAAATGTGAGATAATGTAGTATATATTCTTACTTATTTGGCTTATTTTTACTCAACATAAATACTTAGATATTTTACCTTGTTCTTCTGTCTATAAGGCATTCATTTATCACAAATGATGGGTGCTATTCCAGTTAGACACATTTACCATAATTTGTTTTCTATTAAACAGCTTAATAACATTTGCATTATTTTATTACTCTGAGTGTTAGTAAAAAAATCTGCAAGTCCACTTTGAAATGTACATAGATGAGGAATATATTTTCCTTATTTTTTTTACAACATCAACAACAACAGATACACAGAGAAGACAGAATTCTGCAAATTTTAAAAAACACTTTAAATACTTGAAGATTTAATATAAACGTCAAATCTGAAATCTAGGTAGAGGCAAATTCCTGTAGAGAGTGACAAAACCAGGGTAGAGGTGACCTGGGGCAGCCTGGCATATAAAATGTAGGCTCAGTCATGAGAAACACACACACATATATATCGGATTGCTCGAAGCCGACTGTGGTAAACGTGTTGTGATGTGAATTTCTCAGGGACCACAGGCTGAAGAGCTTTCCTGTACTCCTGAATCTCTTTTCCCAAAAATGGGGACAGTCACAAAAAGCTTTCCATCCCAATGTGTCAGTCTGAAAGAGAAAAGGAGCCCACACTCTGAAATGCATTTAGACCCACCTCCCTTATCCCCATTACAGAACTAAGAAATTACTCTGCAGGGACCAGCCACCAAAACCAGCATCTTAGGGGCACTGGGGAAATCCCTTAGGGACTGAGATGGGAAAAGAGGTTTTCACCTAAGTTCCACTGAGATGTATCTCCCGTCTTTTTCTTATTTAACCGGAGCCTTAATCAGAAGGTCAGGTCAGCAAATCTGGAAGGTGAATAACATAAAAAGAGAACATTGGAGCTGTGGGAGGGAACAACTGAAAAAACAAAAGGCCTCCACCCCAGGAAAAGAGTAGGAACACACAGAACAACATCTTATCTGGAGGAAGTTCAGAGACACTGGAAGGCTTATGCCCAGACTCACGGTCGCAATGCCTACATGGAAATACCTATGACATCATCAGACACTCCCCTTTTATTCTATAGCCTACATGGAAATACCTATGATATCATCAAACACTCCCCTTTTATTCTATAGCCTACATGGAAATACCTATGACATCATCAGACACTCCCCTTTTATTCTACAGACTATATGTAAATACGGACCTATGACATCATCAGACACTCCCCTTTTATTCTATAGCCTACATGGAAATACCTATGACATCATCAGACACTCCCCTTTTATTGTGTAGCCTACATGGAAATACCTATGACATCATCAGACACTCCCCTTGTATTCTATAGCCTACATGGAAATACGGACCTATGACATCAGCAGACACTCCCCTTTTATTCTATAGCCTACATGGAAATACCTATGACATCATCAGACACTCCCCTTTTATTCTATAGCCTACATGGAAATGCCTATGACATCAGCAGACACTCCCCTTGTATTCTATAGCCTACATGGAAATACCTATGACATCAGCAGACACTCCCCTTTTATTGTGTAGCCTACATGGAAATACCTATGACGTCATCAGACACTCCCCTTTTATTCTATAGCCTACATTGAAATACCTATGACATCATGAGACACTCCCCTTTATTCTATAGCCTACATGGAAATACCTATGACATCATCAGACACTCCCCTTTATTCTATAGCCTACAACCAATTTCACAATTGCCAATTAAACATAACATTTTATCCTACCTGAAGGAGCTGAATATGATCCTCTGGAGGAGGAAACAAGGTGAAGAGACAAGGCCAAGCAGAAAACAAAAACCAGGTGTCACGGGAGAATCTGAAGTCTCTGGTGGACACAGAAAAACGGACTTGAACCCTGACGTCCATGGCACAAGTGAATGTCAAATGCAGCTCTGAGAAGATTCACAGACATTTCCATAGTAAAGGCCGGGCAAAGATAAAGGCGGTTAAATACAGGTGGAAAATGCATAAAATGATATAATAACCCAACAGTGCCTGTCCAACCCAACATGTCTGGTTATCAACAACAATTATTACATATATAAGTGAGAAATACCGAGTCACAATAGAGACACAGTTGGAATGAGATTTGTAAATGATACAGATGTTTTAACTATCAAATGAAGATATGTGAAGTAACTACAATTTATATGTCAAAAGGTCTTCCTGAAACTGTGGACATAATGCAGGACCAGATGGGAAACCGGGAGGTGAAAATACTAAGAAGGAATGAAATGGAAACACACGAGAAACCGAAAGCCACGCAGTGTGAACACCGAGCAAGGTTTGGGCACAGCCCTCAGAAGAGCTGGCTCAGCATTGACGTGAAACCATCCACTTAAAATGTCACTAGAAATTTCACAAGTAAATCGCAAAGGAAAAGAGAGCAAAGAAATGAAACATTAATATCAAAAAGTACAGTATGTGTATATGTTAATTCTGAAAAGAAGAAACTATGGATGTGGAGAAACCATTTGAAAACATGATGGCTGAGAGTGTCCCCAGTTTTGTGAAAGACACTGAACTACAGATCCTGGTATCACAGAGAACCCAAGCAGAGTCAGCACAACAGACACAGACACACACACCACACATCCACCACGGGCAAAGTGGCACACAAGAAAAAGCTCACACATCACACATCGCATACACATTTTCTCAACTTAATTTTTTTACTTACTTGTTTTAAAATTATTTGCATTTATTGTATGAAGTAGAGGTTTAAAATTAAAATATATTATTCTATGCATAAGTCTGTCTGTGCTCACCATGATCAAATACACGGCTTGGTGCCAATGAATGTAACTATGTTGTTAGGAAATTCACTATTTCAAATACAGATGGTATTGTTCCTGGCTCTATGTGAATGACTTGTAATGTATGCCAGTACAATCCTTTTTAATTAAAGGACTTTTTAAAGTGGGCAGATAGTGGTTGTTTATATCTATGGGGTACAGTGTGATATTTCAATACGTCTGTGCCCTGTGATTTGACCAGATCAGAACAATGAGCAAATCCATCAGCTCAGACACTAAGACTTTTTGTCTTGGTAGCATACAAAATTCTCTCTTCTGGCTACTTGTAAACATAACATGTACAATATATTGTTGACTGTAGCCACCCTGCGGCACTGTAGGACACTGGAGTGTATCCCTCTGTCTACCTGTAATTGTGCATTTGTTAGCAAACCTCTACTTATCTCTCCGTCCTAGGGCAGGTGCCACTGGATGGCACTGAGAGAGGAACAGGCTAAACTGGACAAATTTAGTGAGGTTTTTGGGGGGATGCCTGTGCTAATGGTGTCAATGGGGCATGAAGCTGACGTGCTGGATGTGTCAGTGTAGAACTGGGTAAGAATCTACCTGCATGCATGAACTATTGCATTATCCAGGCCTGGAGCCTCTCACATCTACGCTTTCCATTTTATTACAGATTTTCTGTGTTGTTTAGTCAGTTAGGATGTCTTTTTAACTTTCTTCTGAAATAGCTCACACAATAATCTAAGGGTAGAAAGATTAAAAAATAACTTATTAGGAAATTAGCCCAAGTTCCAGGTGAGGTCACAGTTTGTGGTGATAGTGAGACAGAGAGAAGCATGGCTGGAAACTGACTGTGCTCATGAACACTTCACGTTGACAGGGGGACCCTGTACACCCAAGAGATTTAGACACTTCCACTGAGAACCCCGACCTTCTTAGTTATGAATCACACCTCAATAATAAAACTCTAGGTTAATGACTGAAATTTCTTTTTTTTTTTAAATTTTTTATTGCATTTTAGGTTTTGGGGTACATGTGCAGAACATGCAAGACAGTTGTATAGATACACACATGGCAGTGTGTTTTGCTCCCTTTCTCTTATTAACATAAACCTTCCTTCAGAACATAGTCCTCTATCTGATGCAAAGTCACTGAATTTATTAGAACTTCCAATTTGTCAAACTAGGAAGCAACGTGTTTCAGGGCAGGAAATGGCTTTGGGATGCTTTGTAAACAAAAAGGCATCTTATCTATTCTGGAACATCCACCAAACTGGACAAGTTAGGGAAGTCTAAGAGCCACTCCCTTGTCCCAGATTCCCGGCAAATATAAAGGTGGAAGTCAATTCAGTAAGAGATAACATTGAAGCTATGAAAATTGCCATAACAGCCTCATTTTAAAATAATGAGCTTTATGCCTTTAACAATGTAAGAACCTAGAACTCGTGTTAAACGTTTCTTTCCGTGGGTAATCGTCTGTTTCATGGTATACGTGGCTGGACAATACTTGGTAGTTATTTGATAAAACACTAATCCAGGGGATGTTGTGAGTTTTGTAACAGACATTATTGAAACTGTAATCAGTTGTGACTCTATGTGAGGTAGATTGTCACTGACCACCTGCTTGACCCTGATTCCATCAGAGCAGAACAGGAGAAGGTAAAATTCATGGTGAATAAGTAGCTTCAGCTCTTTCTGAGACTTCCAGCCTGCGCTTACGATGCCAAGCCCTGAGGATACTGGATGTTTCCAGCCGTCCCCGAAAGTTGTCATACTGTACATGTCACGGGAAAGTGGCGTTTCTATCTGCAGCTTGTCAAACCTAAATATCAGACAGAAAGAGACTCTCCAGTACCAAGTATTATTTACGTGAAAATGAGCACTGCAATGGGAATACGCACGGGCATATTTAGGTCGGTAAAGAAAGACAAGTGTGTGTGTTAAAAGACAGCGGAGGAGGCTTACATGACCTGTGTTGAGACAATTACCCTGCGGTAGGAGAATCAATAACGAGGGTGGAACCAGTTTAAGATTGGACAGGGAGTTGCAGCGTAAATATCCCCACAAAATTAATTCTCATTGTTCAAGGTTGTGCTTGTGAAGGGTATTTTTACAGTATTTCGCGTTATCAGAAATATGTTCATGAGAACCCTCTATTCACAACCGTATCCATCTTCACTAGTAAATATGATAACATTAGAGGCTCCATTTTGAGTCTGACAATTTTCACACCCTCTTCCTCACACCGCTCGTGCAGAGCATTACTCTGTGAAAGTTTTCATGGAACAGGATTAGCTCCATATCTGCATTTGAATATGTACATCCACATATTCCAAGATTGCTTTGCAGAATCTTTTTTTAAATCTAGTCCCACTTGTTTAATTCTGCTTTCTTTGTATGTGCTTTGAATGTAAAATCCAGAAAAAAGTTCTAATTGTGGGTTCAGAATGTTAACCAAACAGGCTTATCCTCTTCAGTTCCCACTGGCAACTTGCATTTCCAGGTGAGTCTCCAGTCAACACAGTAGAGGGTCCTGAGAGATGGGAGTGAAAATTCCCACCAGCCTCTCCCATGTGACTGCAGAAGCCACAGCCTGAGCCCCACCTGAGCTCCAGGGAAAGGGATTCAGGCCTGGACCACAGGGAAATAACATCTTCGTTTTTCAGAAAGCAGGAAAAGCAAATGGAAAAATGAGAACAACAACTTAAAAAAGTGAATGAATTATGAATAAGGGAAGCACCCGATCATTGTTGATGCCGATTTGTGTACCTTAGAATCAGGAGAAGCGTCCAACATGAAACGTGTGAGGTTCCAGGTGACACTGACCCTGCCCAGCCTCTCTATTGTCTGTGATCAGGATCCATAACATCAGCTCTAGTCGGGGAATCTCGCTGAGGCACCTGTCCTGGGTCTTATCGGAAAACACTCACCAGGAAGCCCTGAGATTATCCCAGACAAGAATCCTGGTGACCATGGTGGAGGAATTTTCATTCCTGAAAGCGTCATTCTGCATTTTGTGCCCATGAGAATCGGTTCTCTTATTAAAATAATTTCTTTCGAGTACATAGAGAAGACATTGCTAGGCACAGATTTCTAAACTTAGAGAGGTTCCCTGGAGAAACTGTCAGAAGGAGATGAAATCTCACATCCTGATGGGAAATCAGCCTCCATCTGCTCCTGCCTTTGCAGTTGACTCTGGTCAGTGGCTCCTGAGCGCCCCCTGCAGCTCATTTCCCTGCAGTGCCCCTGCAGGGAGGTTTGTGTCCGGGCTCACACTGACTTCCCCTCACTGTGTCTCGCACAGTAATACATGGCCGTGTCCTCGGCTCTCAGGCTGTTCATTTGAAGATAGAGCATGTTCTTGGAATTGTCTCTGGAGATGGTGACTCGGCCCTTCACGGAGTCTGCATAGTATTTCTGACTTCCGTCATACCATATAACTGCCACCCACTCCAGCCCCTTCCCTGGAGCCTGGCGGACCCAGTCCATGCCATAGTCACTGAAGGTGAATCCAGAGGCTGCACAGGAGAGTCTCAGGGACCCCCCGGGCTGGACCAAGCCTCCCCCAGACTCCACCAGCTGCACCTCACACTGGACACCTGCAAACACAGAGACATCCTGGTCAGAAACTGCCACCCACATCCACTGTTTCTCACTCACCCCAACTAACTCTCAATATCTCTAGTTCTCCATGAATCACCTCTTAAAATAGCAACAAGGAAAACCCAGCTCGGCCCAAACTTCATGGTGAGTCCTCTGTGTTCAGTGCTGATCACCGAATGGAGCACTGAGACTTCCAGTGCTGGGTCTCGTTTCTCAGAGCTGCAGGGTCACGGCTGGGCTGGTTTTCATCAGCAGAGGGAGGGCCCTATTTGCATGTCCCCCATTATATAGCAAGGTCTGAGGGGGGACATCTGAGGCAAGGGCAGGGTTCAGTGCAGATGAAGAGTCCTGGGGGAGATGGATGATTCTATTATTCAGAAAAATATAATAATATATCATGTGATTGTGCCTTCATTACATTCAGCTTTCATAATCCTCTTTTATATTTACATATTCACACAATGCCTTGAATGCAGGTTTCTATGTTGTATTTTACAGAAGGTAATTTACATAGCAAGCACAGCAGTTGCGCAGTTTATCTAAGATTACACATCTAAAAAATGTAGTCCTGTTATCTGGGCCTGTGCTGTAAACACTGGAGTGGGCTGCTCCCCTGAGAACCTCCCGGGCCATGTGGAGCAAGCCTCGTGAAGGCTGCAGGATTCCACATCTGTTGTGACAACTTTCTCCAATGCACCTACAATGTGTGGAGAGAACCACAGGCCCTGTGTGTGCATCTGTTGTGACAACTTTCTCCAATGCACCTACAATGTGTGGAGAGAACCACAGGCCCTGTGTGTGCATCTTCAGAAGTCAGTCCTATTTCTCACTGTGCATATCGGCCTTTTAAAAGACAGGAAAATTTAAATTTTCTCCATGTTAATTTATAACAGTGGTATCTTCTAGAGTTTCTACAAATGAATCATATAAAATTTACTTTTGGTTCATTAGTTTCTTTCACTCAGCCCAATCTTGGAGAATTTAGCCACGTTTAAATATGAGTGAGGCAAGGCTTGATTTCAAGCTGCATTATATTCCAGTACTATTTACTTATAAACCTGTAACAAAATGTGATTTGTTCTCTCAGTTAATGGATTCTTATATAGAAAAGCAGCTATTCAGCGTGGGAATGTAATAAATGAGTTATCTATGATCTTGTTCTGATCTCATTAACAACAAACCTAAACAACGACAAATAAAGAAAAATATCTTCAGCATGCCTGAGTTGATACCACAGAGAAACAAACAAACCTGAAATCTGAGGAGAGAGAAGCCTGCAGAGAGAACCAGGATCCCTATATTCGCGTGCCTGGGGCAGACACCGCTGGATGGCATTTGGGGTAGGAACGGGCTGACTCGGGAACATTCAGTGAGTTGCTTGAGGATGGACGCGCCCACAGTGTTAGACTCCGGAGCTCCCAGTGAGTGCCGGCTTTTCCTACAGAATTACTAATAATTATTTCTGTTGTGCTTTATGCAAATAATCAGGCCAAATACAGGACTAAAGTTTATTCTGCAAACAACTCTGTCCTATCATGATTTGCTTCTGACAAAAATCAGAACTGGAGAGAATAATTATATTTCAAATATGTCGTATATTCGTCTTTAAATTCTAATCTCTTCAGTCGTTTCAAGTATTTGCCTGCATTTTAGACTAACCTGGTTCCTGAGAGCCAAGCAATGGTCCCTGGCTGCAGCTCAGAATAAACAAAAAGGGGATGGGTAATATAAAAAATCCGGATCAATATTTCAACTCGCAGCAATTTTCCTGCAAATCATGCCAGGCGAAGGGAGTAAACAGGGTGCCCCTAACCCAGAGGTTTCTTTGTTTGGGAAAATTAGTCCAAGGGAGCTAACAAAAGCCAAGCCCCATGCACCCAAATCTTAGCATAACTACAGCCGCCGGTTGTCTGGACCTGTGAGCGGCCTTGGAATTTTCTTTCAAACTGTCGTTGCCACCGTGTTTGGTTTTGATACATGTCTTCTAATAACCCGATGTGTGTCTTCGCATTTTCAGGCCATCACACTTTAAATGGTCACACAGCTGGAGCCTGGGATAATGGCTCCCTTTTACTGGGATCCCTTAGGCAGGCCTCCAAGAGAGATCTTCCCAAAACAGCATCCCCGGCAGCTGGAAGCAGTTAAGATTGGTTTTAGTCTCTGTCCTAATGACAGTTAGATACACTTCGTCAAAGAGGAAAATGATAGAGGTGGGAGGCAGGGGACTCTCCCAGGCAGATGGGGAGGGTCCCATAGAATCTCCAGCTCTCCAAGGTCACTGTGTACAGGGGCTTGCCTAAACATGCCTGCCTGAAAATTGTGAAAGTTGCCTTTTTCACTCTCCGACAAAATAGCCACACCTAATTATCTAGCGCATGAAGATAAACACAATAACTAGTTTGAAATTAGAACAAATTCGACGTGAAGTCAAAATCAGCTTATGGTTTATAATGTGACAGACAGGGGACGTGCCTGAGTACTAAGAATGTCTTCACGTCTGTTTTATGTCATAATCGGGAAGGTAGCTTGTATATTCTTTAGGTAAGAGTCCCACTAAGAGCATTGATTAACATTATATATTGATGGATAGACCACAATAATAAAAGTAAAGGTTATTAACCAGTAATTTGTACTAAGAGCACAACATTTTCTTTAGGATTTATAATTCTACGTGTTGTGAAATCAACTGAGAAAACATTGCACTTATTATAGCTTTTTAATAAATTAAAAATGAGAATCAAGTACATATGTTTCTAGATGGTGCACAACTTTGGAATTTTTTGTTTTGTTTTTGAGATGGAGTCTTGCTGTGTTGCCCAGGCTGGAATGCAGTGGCGCAATCTTGGCTCACTGCAACCTCTGACTCCCGGGTTCAACCCATCCTCCCACCTCAGACTGCCAAGTAGGTGGGATTAAAAGTGTGCACCACCATGTCCAGCTAATTTTTGTATTTATAGTAGAGACAAGACCAGCATAGCCAATATGCTGAGGCTGGCCTCACCATATTGGCCAGGCTGCTCTAGAACTCCTGACCTCAAGTGGTCCGCTGAAAAATTGATTGGCCTCCCAAAGTGCTAGGATTACAGGCATGAGCCACTGCGCCTGGCCTGGAATATTTTTACATAGAGGGTGCCTATGCATTCTGGAAATCCTATCGAAATGGACAACAAGGGAAGAAAGTTTCAGATAAATTTCTACCTACTAGAGAGCTGATTAATAGCATTTTAAAGCAAATGCTAACACACAAATAAAGAGCTACAATGGAGCTAAAAGAATATAATAATTAAATACAGCAACTGCTCTAGGTCAATCTAGTGTATAATATCATCTACCCATGGAGGGCATTGTCATTGTTCATAAAAGACAGAATCAATCCCACTGACCATCTTCTGGGAATGTTAGAAAAATGGCACATCTAAATAAAAACCATCAAATTTCAACAAAATGTAAAACTGCTTTGGCCAAGCGTTCCCCACTAGCACTGTGGAATCACGGTCCACTCCCTGGGGTGCATCAGTTATTACCCTATGGCTTGGTAGCTAAAAGGCACGTACACTTATAGACTGAGCCCTGATAGTGGCTCCTGCGTGAATCCACCCCAGTCATGAGGAGTTTAAGTCCGTCTTTTTACTACGTGTTTTCCACAGTCTCTTGTGATCTTCAACAAGGCAGTTGGAAGGAACATCAGCGGCAAATACTGCTCTTGAATCATATTGGAAGGAATCTTGCCAGAAACTTCTAACTCACTGAAGAAAACCTTCGGGCAGTTAATTACTGGGTTCATATTTGACAACTAAAGAATCAATCCGAAAAACAATCAAAGATGGCCGACCACTAACAGCTCAGGAATGTAGCTCCCAGTGAAAGCTCAGAGAACGAGACGACGCCACATCTTTAGACGAATTTTCTTCACTCACCGATTAGCCGATTCCCAGTGGAGGAGCCCCACGGGTCGCCAGCGCGACTCTTGTGGCCGCCGCAGCGGTTTTGCCGGCGTCTCGGCGCAGCAGCTCTTCATGCAGAGCCAACGGGACTGCTTCCCCTACTGACCAGAGTTTGGAGCTCCGGGAAGTCAGAGCCGCTTGTTGCGGACTCAAGAGGGAAGCCAGACCAGAGATTCCCGGGCAGAAGAGCACCATCAGTCTTACCGCTGCTATTTAGGCCGCCACAGTGGGTGGCTCGGATCCCAGCACTGGGAATCAGTAAGTTGGACATCGACTCAGAAAACTAATTAGAAAGGCAGTTCATCTATAATGAAGGGAAAAAAACAGCCTAAGAAGGCCGAGTATACTCAAAATCAGAACCCATCAGCAACAGAACAAGCCCTGATGGAAAAGGACTCATCAGCAACCGAACAAGCCCTGATGGAAGAGGACTCATCAGTAACGGAACAAGCCCTGATGGAAAAGGACTGTGTTCCATTATCTGAAGTAGGCTTTAAAAGGTGGATGATAAGAAACTTCTGGGAGTTAAAGGAACTTGTTCTAACCCAATGTAAAGAAACTAAGAACTTGGAAAAAAGGTTCGATGAAATGTTGAAAAGAATAGACAATATAGAGAGGAATACAAATGAACTTATGGAGTTGAAAAACACAACACGAGAACTTAGTGAAATATGTACAAGCTTAAACAGCCGAATGGATCAAGCAGAAGAAAGGGTATTAGAGGTCGAAGACCAACTTAATGAAACAAAACGACAAGACAAGAATAGAGAAAAAAGGATAAAAAGGAATGAGCAAAGTCTCCAAGCAATATGGGACTATGTGAAAAGACCTAATATACGCTTGATTGGTGTACCTGAATGTGACGGAGAGAATGAAGTCAAGCTGGAAAATACTCTCCAGGACATTATCCAGGAAAATTTTCCTAATTTAGCAAAGCAGGACACTATTCAACCCCAGGCAATACAGAGAACACCACAAAGATATTCCTCAAGAAGACCAACCCCAAGGCACATAATCGTTAGATTCACCAAGATCGAAACGAAGGAGAAAATATTAAGGGCAGCCAGAGAGAAAGATCAAGTTACCCATAAAGGTAAGCCTATTAGGCTTACAGCAGATCTCTCAGCAGAAACCCTCCAAGCTAGAAGAGAGTGGGGGCCAATATTCAATATACTTAAAGAACAAAACTTTCAGCCCAGAATTTCATATCCTGCCAATTTAAGCTTTACATTTGAAGGAAAAATAAAATCTTTTAGGAACAAGCAAGTACT